CAGGCCCCCAGAGCTCTACTGCAAAGAAACAGCCCCATGTGATGTCCCCGAGCAGCACCCCAGCCATGGGACAGAACTGCAGCTCTCTGCTCTCCATGAAGACACTCCTGGGCCATGGGAGGAGGAAGAGCAGGAGACCAGAGACTAGGGAAGGAGCCTGAGGAGCACCCGTGACTCCCAGGGTGGGCAGCACCCCTTAAAGATGCATTTTGGGGTGGACAAGATGGGACCCAGGTCTCTCCAAACCACCCTGAGGGTCTCTCCCCACCCCTCCTCCTGGCCCAAGGCTCAGCAGGATGGGAGGATGGTCCAGCCCAGGAGAGCAGCAGCCTCTGGGGCTTCTGCTGCCCCAAGGGGAGCCAGGAGGCCAAAGCTACCAGAGTTTGGGGGGTTGCAACTCTGCGTGTGACACGAAGTCACGAGCAAGAGCTGGCTGAGATCATCCAGAAAAAGGAGAAACCAGGGAGCAGAAGCCTAGAAACAGGTCACCTGTGTTGTCCAAAAAGGCCAGGCTGAGCCTGACTGGTGTGGGAGGAGCAGCCTTTTGGCAAAGAGGGGATGCAGGATGAGAGTGGGCAGGGAGCAGGTAGGATGTGAGGCAGTCAGGAGGGGGGAGACACCCCCCCCCAAGCTTTATCTTGGTCTTCCCTAACTCAGTGGCGTTCACAAGACACATCTGAGGCTCAAGGTGAGGAGGAGGAAGAGAGGAAAAGAGTGTAAAGGGCACCAGGGTGCCAAAAGTGCAACAACAGAAAGAAATCAAACCCCAAAAAAAAAAGACAGGACACTCATTCTGCACTCAGGGCTCATACCATGCAGTAAGAGGGGCGGCCGGGGCTGCTCCCCACCAGGAACCAGGGAGTTGGCTGGCTTAGCAGGCTGGTTTGTCAGCCCCCAGAGGAGGGTTGCCTAGCCAATGAGCAGGGGTGTTCTGCAGGGAGGGTGCTGCTCCAGATGGGGGCTGTTAGCAGGAGCACCCGCTCTCCGTGACTGGCTGCTCGGGAGGTTTCTCTAGTTTGATGTCAATCACTGCAAGGGGGCAAGTTAAGGAACTCAACCTGGCTGCAGGGAAAAGGAGGAGGAATGAAACCAGAGTGTTGTTTGCACCTCAAATCCTGGGTGGGTTTCAGGCTCCTCGTCCCAAGAGGGACGCTGAGGTTCAGGTGGAGTCCCCACCCCCCTGGAGGGGTTTCCAAGCTGTGGAGATGTGGGGTGAGGGACACGGGGCAGGGGGGACCTGGTCACACACTGGATGATCTAAAGGTCCCTCCCAAGCAGCTTGCTGTTACAAGCAGTCGTGGACATTTAGAGCTCAACCACAGGCAGAGTCCTAAATTTCCACCCAGGGGTGAGCACCACACCACACCACACCACACAGACCTTCAGCCACCCCAGTATGGCCCATTTCACCCCCACGATGCACCAGGCAGGCAGTGAGCCCAACTTAACCCTCCAAACTGGAGGAGAAGAGGCAGAGCTGCTGCTCAGAACAGAAGGATACTGTCTTCTTTGCTCTTCTCTGGTGTGCTGTCCATCCCAGGTAAGGCAGCAGCCACACGGCGGAAAAGCTGAAAAGGAGGAAGGAGAAAGATGAAGGTTTAGGAAGGGGAAAGAAAAAAGCATTTTAAAACACATTGCTTGACAGATCTTCACAAGCTGCTGGTGTGGGCACTCCAGCAAGCAAAGGGATGATCAATAAATGCCATGAGAAGGTTACCTCAGAAACATTAAAATGAAAGAATTACTCAGTGCCTCTAAAATAGGTTTATTTGACCCGTTTCTGCTTGAACAGAACATGGAATTCATTAGTCAGAGTTCTTCCAGGGACACCTAGAGTGATTCCCTGCCTGTCACCCAACATTCCCAGCCTTGCCTGCTTTGGCACAGAGCCATGTCACAGTGCAGGACTCAGCACTTTGAACCAGGGGCTGGTTCAAAATGGGTTTGAAGGATTTTTCCAGTTGACGTTTTCGTGGTGGGTTTTTTTTTTCCCCTAAAGCTCCTCCTGCTGCCCTGAAGGGAGCAGCCCAGAAACAGCCACAGCCAGGCAGGCTGCTGGGATGTGCTGCAGAGAGAACTGAGGGGAATCACCAGCTCAGGATGATTCTTCTCCCAGCAGCTTGGCTGCCAAACCTCTCACCCACACCTCCAAACCATTCCCTGGAAAACGAAGCTGCTGAGGTGCCAGCAAAGTGCTGCAGAACCAAAGGCTGAAGTGGACTCAGTCCAGAAGAGCCAAAAGAATAACCCCAAAGTCTCCTGATTCCACCATGAGGGTCTCCTAACACCTCCTGATCCCACCACGAGGGTCTCCTAACATCTCCTGGACCTCAGGGCTCTCACTCCCCAAGTTCTGCCACACATCAGAGCAGTTCCTGGACTCGTGGAGAGTGGCAAGAGGCAACAGGCACAAACTGAAAGACAAGAGATTCTGTTTAAATGGAAGAAAAATGTTTGCAGGGTTTTTTTTTATTACCATAGGGCTTGTCAAACACTCTGCCAGGTTCCCTGGAGAGATGGAGTCTCCATCCTTTGAGACTTTCAAAACTCAGCTAGAGCTGGTTCTGGGCAGCCTGCTCTGGGTATGAGGGTTGGACAAGATCTCCAGAGATCCCTTCCAGCCTCAATTATTTGAACCCCTTCCTCTGGGGCTTGCAAACAGCAGCAGGAACTTCTGCTCCAGTGCAGCAGCCTGTTTAATCATCCCCAAATGATGCCAAGGCTGATTTTAGGTAACAACACATCAGCTGTCAACAAAAAAGCAAAGGGAATGTACAAAATGTTTGACTGGCTGCCTAAAAAAAAGTGTTTTTTTTAAACATTTTGGGTTTAGATTCTCCTTTCTTTCAAGGTAAGCTTGCTTAGCTTCAACAGGGCATCACTGACCTGAGAGGAGAGGAGCTTCCAGCAGCTAAAGCAGCAGCATGAAGCACTTCAAGGCTTGGCATTAAACAACACAAGCAAATGTGTGGTGGAACATGACCCTTGAGCACCAGACAGACACCCACAGAGCAGCCAAACCCTGTCTGAAAACAGAAGAGGCATCTACCTGTTTCACATTGTATCCAGTCTTTGCACTGGTCTCAATGAACATCACATTCAGCTCTTTGGCTCTCTGTTCACCTTCTTCTGTAGTGATTTGCCTGGATAAAGATGCAAAGAGGAGCAGAAAGACAGAAAGGGAGGACAGGAGGAGTTAGAGGTGTCTGTGAGTGAGCTGCTCTCCAGTGGAGCTTGCTTCACCACCCCAAGAGTGCCCACCAAGGGAGACCTCAAGATCTCTCAGTCTTTAAGCCCCACAGCTCAGACTAAACCAACCACAGGGGTGTTACCCTGGGAATTCCTGGCCTCAGGATGAAGCCTGTGCAGGACATTTGAGCCTCCTTCACAGCATCCTCCAGGGAAGGAAGAATCCCCACAGGCAGCACCCCCCAGCCAAAGAGCAGTTTCCCCCAAAGCCCACAGCAGCAGGGGGAACTCCCTGAGGCCACAGAAGGATTTCAGAAAGGCTCTTCAGAAAGCAGCAAGTTCCAGGCATCAGTTCTCTGGCCAGCAGCACCCTGTACATACCTGTTTCACATTATATCCTGCTTTAGCACTGGTTTCAATAAACACCACATTCAGCTCTCGGGCTTTTCTCTCACCCTCCTCTATAGAAACCTGTCTACAGCAATGAGAACAAATCACAGAAAAGAAAAACCAAAAACAAAGAAAAACAGACCAAAAACCAAAGAAAAACAGGTCCAAAAATTGATTAAAAAAAAAAAAACAGAAGGAAATAAAAAACCAACACACAAACAAAACAAAAAACAGCCACCAACTGAAGCAACTTTAACAGGAAAGAAAAACTTCACAGGCTGCACCACATCAAACCAGGGCTGGGTTTAATCCAGATTTGGGGCCTGGGAACTCCTCCATTTGCATCATCTCTTGGGCTGTATCCTACTCTGAAGCATGTGAGCCAGCTCAGAGGGATGCTGTGGCTTTGTCTGGCCTTAAAGGCTCAGGATCTCTGCCTAGCACAAGTCTAACTTGAAGAAAAACAAGGCAGCTTCTTGGCCTGACCCCTGGATATACCCCTAATGCCAAATTCTAGCCCAGCCCAGGACTGCTGTCACATTGAACTTTTAAAATAAGCCTTTCTAGTGCTACATGAGCTTCATCTGTAGCTGTTTCTAACAGTTTCCTGGTATTTTTCACCCTTGCAGCAGTGCTGGGTCAACTCTCCTGCACACACTCCACTTGGGCACCATCAGGAAATAACCAGAGGCTGAAATTATCCCCCACTGGCTTTTCCAGAAACCAGAAATTGGGTTTTGATCAGAATGAGAAAAGCTTCCAATCAAAGTGCCAGCTTGTTCAGTGAGGGAGCTGCAGTTATTTCTAGCTCCCAGGAGATCCTCAGGGGTCAACATCTGCAGCTGGCTCAAGCAGAACATCTGGGAGCTCCCTCTGTTGCTTGGGCAAGCTGATTTCAGAGACCATGCTGACCTGAGGGCTTCTCACCTGGAATTCTTCCTCTGAACCAGCTCTACACATCTTTCTCCTCTCTCTGATGCTATGAGCACCAAGTTTAACCAGTATTATGCAGTATTTCTGAAGTGTGAGGCACAGGATAATTAGAACAGCCTCCCAAAATAGCTGGCAAGGCTAAGGTGGTCTGTGTGGAGGACACAAGATCACATTCCTGCAAGAACCAGCAGCCCAAAGCCCACACAGTGCCCAGTTAGAGCCTAAATTTACCCTTTTCCTGCCTGCCACCACCACGTGCTGCTAGGAACCACTGTCTGTGCTCTTCCTGCTGGCTGGGGCAGACTGAACACCAACAGCATGACTTGTGCTGGGCCCAAAGGGCAGAAAGCTTCTCCTGACAAAGTCTGTGCAGGCAGGGACACTGAGGATTGGCTCACAGGAGCATCTGAACAACACCAAAGCCACCAGGGGGGGAAAATAAACCATCACAACCCCCTCCAAAGCAAGACATGCTGCAGGAGTGAGGAAGGCAAAGTTTAGGGTTTAAAATCTGCTAGCAGCCAAAATTGGAAGAGTGTTTCCCAGTTCTGCCTTTCTGAAATGCTTTCTTTACATCAGCCACAAACCTCCCATCACTTCAGTGCTCTGCACATCCTCTGCCACACAAAGCACACACTTCAGAGCACCTGATGGTTCAGTTTAAAGCCCTGCCTGGCTGACTCCACCTTCCCTGATACAAAAGCACCAAAATAAACCCCCTGCCTCATCCACCCTGTTTCTGATGCCTCCATAAAGAATGAAAACCTCTGAAATCACTCAATCAAATTTTTCTTGAATGAACCATCAAGAGAAAAAGCTGAAAGGGAAAAGCATTTTTGCTTTGTGATGTGTCCCAGAACACCCTCTGCATGATTTGAAGAGTCTTAATTAAGGTTTTACACCTCTTGGGGAAGTCTGCTTTGGCCAATTGAGTTTCCTCTTTTGCAAGACATCCTTTTGGCTTTATCTCAGCATGAAAAGAAAAATCTGACAAAATACACTACTGAGAAACATGCTACAGAGTTACTTCATTGAAGTAAAAGGAATTCTTTCTTTTAGGTGGGTTTGTTTTAACCAAAACCATCTGCAGAACAGCAAAAGGGAATCACTTGGCACGTGCTGAAAACAGAAATCCACCTTTCAAGCCAAGCTGTTAAGTTTTGCTTAAAAATCCAACAATTGTTCTGAAGACAGAGCAGCTGGCCAGTTCATTGCTGTTCCTGGGCAGGGCAGGGATGTTTTTATTGGGCATCCAGCCCCCCCTTTCCATTACCTCTTGTCTGCCAGGTCAGTTTTGTTCCCCACCAACATGATGATGACATCGCTTCCCCTCTCCGTCCGAACGTCGTCGATCCACTTGGAGGTTTGCTGGAAAGAATTCAAGTCTGGAGGGAAGAATCAGAGGGGAGGGGTTGTGGATGGAAAAACTTCCTTTTTAGAACTCAGCTGCTTCTCCAAATCTCCCCACCCCACAGGAAAACAACCCCAAATTTTCTTCTCTAGGCACAAAAACGGGGCGGAGAAGGGTGGAAATCAAACCGGACTTTTTCTAACATTAATCATCTTTTTGCAGAACTTCTCCTTCTGACCCAGGAGTTCTGCTGACAGGTTATGACTGGAGGAAAAAGAGGCAGCAAAGCTTCACTCACTTGTGATGTCATAGACCACCACGGCGATGGTGGAGTCCCGGATGTAGCTGGGGATGAGGCTGCGGAACCGCTCCTGGCCGGCCGTGTCCCAGAGCTGCAGCCGAACCTGCCAGGGCCAGCCCGGGGAGGAGACAGGGACAGGGACAGCACCAGAGGGGAGAGGAGGGGAGGAGAGAAAGGAGGAAACTGTCCTTTAGAGAAAAGCCCAGCTCCAGAGCTCGCTGTAGGTGGCTCTGCCTGAGGAGCTGAGGGTGACCGTGTCGCCTCGCCCCAACCGCCGCGGAACCTGTTGCTCTGACTCTGCTTTTACAGATGATTTCATCTCATGACCTCTCTCTCTTTGCTTCCCCAGAGCTCCAGGTTGTGGCCACCAACCTCACTGCTGACAGTGGTAGTAGCTAAAATAATACAGAGCTGGTCTCCCTGCTCTGCCCTGGGTTATGAATGAGGCACCCCCAGGACTCCCAGCCTCTCGGAGCGAAGGTTTTGGGGCAATTCCCTCAGGCAGCTCCCTCAGCTCAGACACCACCTTGTAGAAGAACATCCATTCTCCAACACCAAGCACCCACCAGGCAGCCAGAGGGATTTTTGAGGCAAAATGAAGGCCATCCCTAACTGAAATTCCAGCAGCAAGAGAAGCCAAAGTGGTACCCCCACACAAAGGGCATCGTGTTCTCTTTGGAGAGCCAGGAGGACGAGGAGAGGGGCAGTTTGACCTCCAGAAGCTGCCCCCAAACACCAACTGCCCCTCCAGGGGACAGCTCCACAGCCTGGGACCTGCCCCTTTGAGCCACCAATGGTCAGAGCACGCCCAGGTCCCACAGGACATGCTGAGGGAAGCTCCCAGGTCTGCAGGAGGGCAGAGGTTGGTCCCCAGCTCAGTGACACGAACGGGTGAGATGTGCCCCAAGGGCTTTGCTGGGCACACCCAGAGCAGTGCCTGGCACAGCAGCTCCCAGAGCCTGGCTGCAGGGGAGAAAGTGTCAGCAGGAGCAGTAATTGGCTTGGTTAGGAGAGAAACTGGAGCTGGACAGAGCCCACAGCTGCAGAGTGGCTTCCTACAAGCAGCTTCAAAACAATCAGTGTCTAGCTCAGATGTAGACACCCTGGGGCTTAAGGAAGATTAGGGCTTCCAGTTAAAGGGATTAACTGATGCTTCATTATGAAGGCAGCCTTGATTGCAGTAGCTAAAGTCAGGGCTCTTCATCCAAGCTCCAAGCCCTTGGACAATGTGACAGCAGGCTGCTGAAGGCAGCTCCTGGACTTCCCACCAAAGCTCCCCCCCGGTCCCCAAGGCTGCTGGAGACCAGGCTGCCCACCCAGGACCCTCACCACAGTGGTGATTTCACCACTCAGAAGTCAAAAAGGCACCTAGAGGAAGCCCCACCACAGAACTGGGCCCAGTAACCTTGTTGTAGTGGAGGGCAAAGCTTTTTGGGGGCAGGTGTCCTCCAGCTAGGTGGCCACGACCAGCATCCGTGTACAGGAGACTACCTGAGGTTCCCAAATCCTGTTAGCACTCAAGACAAAGCAAATAAACAGCTCTGTAGGGTGGGAAAGGAAAAGCTGTTCTCCTTGGAGAGCAATGGAATGGTCTGAGAAGATCAGCCCATTCCCAAGGCCTGATGAGATCAGCTCTGGCTTCATGACCTTGGACGTGGCTGGGAGCTGCTAAGAACAGCCCAGACTGGCAAGATTTTTCCACCTGCCTGGAGAAGCAGCACCCTGAAGCCTTCAGGAGGGGTGGGGAGGGAAGATGCCAACCTGTGCAGCCCCCACGCTGCCTCACTGAGGGGGGGGGTCCCAGCTGGAGTCACCACGGGTGCCTCTGAGCACCCCCAAAATCATCACATCTGTCTGAGCTGGCTCCAGAGGGGAAATCCTCCTACTTTGACTCCAGGACCAGGGAAAAGGCACAGAATTAAGTGCCCTCAATGTGTAAGATAAATCCTAACAGAAGTCTATTTGTTGAGCACTTCAGGGAAAAAAGAATTCATTTTTTAAATAAAAAAAAGGCAAACTGGAAAAAGTTTTCTAAAGCTTTTAGGTTTTTTTTTAAAGCTTTCCAAAGGCTGCCAACCACCTCTCATTCCACTCAGCACAGACATACCAGAAGTCTCAAGCCCTGCTCACCTACCTGCCAGTCCTGTGTTGGTCATCTCCCACCTTTTGAGCAGACTAGGGTTAAACAATTCCCTAGTTTCTGAATTATGGGATGGAGTGACCACTGCCTGTGGGGGAAGATGCTCAGCTACACCCCCTCAAGCCCCACGAAACCCCAAAAGTCCTAGGGTTGGTGGTTTAGCTCAGCTCTGTTCAGCTCCCAGCAGGGTTTCTGAGGCCCAGAAGGCAGCAGTTGGAAGCCAGGTCCCTGCAGAGCTGGGGCTCCATACCTACGTGTCATGTCAAAGGCAAGGAGAGCCCCCGTGGAGTCAGGTTTGAGGCTGTGGAACCTCTCCTGCCAGGCCTTGTCCCACAGCTCCAGCCTCATCTGGGAAATGGAGAAGTGGAGGGGGAAGAGGGGGAAGAGAGGGGAGAGCAGGGACATGGAAAACAAAAAAACCACAACTCAAGTGAAATGAAAACAAAAGAAGAAAAGAAAACAGCAAGGCAAAAAAAAAAAACCACAATGAAAGGGGAGTTTCAAATGGAACAGAAATGTGAAAAGAGCCAAGGAGGCTTCAGATCATGTCCTGGGGGTGGCCTCAGCCCACAGAGAGACTCCCACCCTCCAGACCTGTCCACAACTCACACAGGCAAACTCCTCCTTCCCTTTAATCCCTAAAAAACACCTTCTCACAACACCTGCTGAGGAGGGAGTGAGTGCCTCAGCACCCCCTGCTCTGCTCCAGCAGCCACCCAGAGGTGGCTCCTCCCTGTGAGGATGTCACCCTGCCCCCTGAGGGAGCCCCTGGAAAATTGTCCTCTCTGCAGGAGAGGGCTCTGAAGAGCCAAACTCCCCCTGCACTGCTCCCACCTGCCACCCAGGGTGTATTTGGAGCCAAGCACAGGTATCACCTCAGGGTTTGGGGTGAGGACACACCAAGTGTGCCAGGCTCACACCCTTCACCTCAAGCCCAGCACTCAAAGCTTATTTCAAAACACAATATCTGAGACATTAGTTCAACATCTGAATTTTCCCACCTTGTGTATTTCTCCCTCCCCTCACCCACATTCCACAGCTTTCTGTTATTTAATCAGGCTTTACAGGCTCTGTGGACCACTCACATCATGAGGAAAGTTCATGAGATACCCAACACTGGACAGACAAGGGTGTAGAGGGCCAGCAGGTCAGTGATATCCTGACCTAAAACCCCCAAAAATGGAAACCACTCTGCTGCAAACAGCTCACAGACATCTCAACTCACCCTCACAGCCATCAAACATCCAGTTTTTTTCAGCAAAACCATCAAAAAGACAAGAAGTGGCCAAATGTGAGCGAATGGAACGACCAATATTGAAGGACAGGAGAGGGGTGGGAGGGATCTCTGGCTGCCTAAATCCAGAATTGCTTCTTTAACAGCATGGCAAAGATGTGGTGGCCTCAAGATTTGGGTCTGCCTGGGGTCTGCTCAGACCCACCCAGAGGAGAGCTGCAAGTCTGAGGAGCAAACTGGACCCAAGGTTCACCAGATACCACGTGGCTGGTTCCCTGGGATGTGGATATCAGCTCAAGCTCATTTTGGATGGAAGATTCTGGACTTCATTCTAGAGGTATTGGGTATTCCCAAGTATCAGAGGATCACTGAGGCTGGAAAAGACCTCCAGGATCATCAGGTCCAACTGTCAGCCCAACACCACCATGAGCACTACACCATGTCCATGTGTTTTTTGAGGACTTTGAGTTTTTTCTGGGGACTCCAGCACCTCCCTGGGCAGCCTGGGCCAAGGCCTCACCACTCTGCCAGGAGAGAAATTCCTCCTCAGATCCAACCTAAACCTCCCCTGGGGCAACTCCAGCCCATTCTTCCTTATCCTATCAGTGGTTATTTGGAAGAAGAGACCAACCCCCACCTCACCCCAACCTCCCCAGGTTCAGCCACTCCAGGGAGCTCTCCCCTCAGCCTCCTCTCCTCCAGACTAACCACCCCCAGCTCCCCACAAGCCACATCCCCCAGACCCCTCCCCAGCTCTATCACCCTTCTCTGGACCCACTCCAGCCCCTCGGTGTCTTTCTACTCCTGTGGCTCCCAAAACTGCCCCCAGTGCTGCAGCTGTG